AATGGCAACAAAAATAAAGCAACGAACATATAAATACCTATGGCCCTGTTTGGCAAATCGGATAAAGTATCGGATAGGATTAGTTATACGGACCCGGGTGTTTGGCGTTCACTCGTACTAAATAAGCATCGGATTAATTTAACCGGTCGGATAGGATAATACGGTATACACCCGCTTAATAAAACCAACCAAAACGTCCGGATTATTTAGTCGGGGAAGAAGAATATGGGAGAGAAAGGGAGGGAGTTTGGGGGTGTGGCGGAGAGAGCTGGGGAACAATTATTTGGGATTCTTCTACCGTCGGGGAAGAAGAAGGGAGAGAGAGGGAGGGTGTTTGGGGGGTGCGGAGAGACCTGGGAACAAAAAAATGATTTCATTTTTTTAAATTTTTTTTTTTTAAAGTTTGATGCCTCATATCTAGCATAATATCAAACACAGTATAAATAATACGATCACTAGTCCGATACTGCACCAAACACCCGACTAATTTAGTCAGTACTATCCGGTGGCTATTTATCCTATCCGACAGAAATAGTCAGTACAGTTCGAGCTGCCAAACGAGGCCTATATGGTTAACATGGAATTTGCCACTTCAAAATACCAAGATTCTAGGAAGCAACAAAGACCATCAAGTATTGAGAATTATGCAAGATGTAAGTGAAACAGTGGAGAGAAGGAGAATCAACCCTTCATTAGAAATAATTAGGTCTTAGGAAGAGATGTATGCATATAACCAAAAACAGTGTGCAAAGATATATACAAATATAACAAAAACGCAATATCAAATATACTCAAATACCATGTTAAAATTTAAAAATATAGGAGGTTGATGAGTAGAAATAGGAACGAAACTAGTATTAGGAGTTACAGGCAAGCCTGAATTTATAAACACAATCCACATTAATAAAAAAATTTACTTTAACTGGTGCATAAACTACTATAACATGAACTAAACAAGGTAAAGACTACCGAATATCCAAGCTTGGGAAACTTAAAAGCATATACCAAGGGATACAAGCCATTTATTTCAAATCTCAGAAAAAAAATGAAGCTATTTAATTATGCCCACCAAGACCAAATAGTTAGAGAACCAATTTGGGAAAATTGTTCATTTCAGGACATTTGGGAGGTTCTCAAACCTAGAAGCCTTGAGCAAGGAAATGCAATATTCTAAAAACTTCAAAACACAAGTCTTGAGCCATATGATCTTACTAATATGTAATCGATTTATAAATCTATTTACATGACTCAAGTTCATTGTAAAGTTATCACCAACTGCACCCCCCCCCCCCCAAAAAAAAAAAAAAAAAAACTAAACCAATACATGTAATAAAAGAACAAAACATGTAAAAACAGTAATTACTTCAGGATAGTGAGCCATGCAAAGATTCTCTCAAGCGCATAATAAAAGAGAAATTAGCAATAAAATTGAATCCACGAATATAATGATATTTGGATTGGCAGAGAGAAAAAAGGTTTGGAATATGTCACTTCCAATACTAAGATTTTAGGAAGCAGCAATCAAACCTTCGCTACAAAACATGTAATCAAGAACAGTGTACATGGATAGAAATATTACAGAAAAGCAAGACCAAACCTACTCAAGTACCATGTTAAAACGGAGATGAATAGAAATACGAAGCGAATTAAAACAAAGATATCTGATATATGCATGTTAGTAAGTCTGGAGAACATAACAGAAAAAAAATCCGAACTTATATTAAGAGTTACACACAAATCCATATTGAAATACAAGAACAGTAATTCTCAAGACCAAAAAAAAAAAAAAAAAAAAAAAAAAAACACAATATTTTAACTAGTGCATAAATTACTCTAGAAAATTTTGATAAACAAGGTAAAAAAGCTCGAACTTGGGAATTCAATCAAAAGGATTTTCCAAAGGCATATTCAAGCCATTTATTTGGACTAAAGATAATTAAGCCATCTAGTTATGCCCAAACAGAAGATGTGGGTTAGGCCAATTGGTTAGGACAACGTACCTGCCACATTGTACCTAATCATGAATCCCCCATTGCACCTAAGTACGAATCCTCGTCATAGTAGATTAAAGTAGTTTAGAATATCACTTTGCCAAATATTATGTAACAAAGCCAAAATGTTAGGTCATCTCCAATGCACCGAAAATTTAGACTCAATTAATGTTATATTTGAGTCTAAAAATGAGAGGCAAGCACTCGCCAATGTTCAGGAGACTTGAACATAGCGATGTATGCATATAACCAAAACGGTTTTATAAACATAACAAAACGGTTTTACAAAGCGATGTACGCATATAACCAAAAACGGTGTGCAAAGATACAAACATAACAAAAACGTAAAATCAAATATACTCAAATGCCATGTTAAAATTTAAAAACATAGAAGGTTAATGAGTAGAAATAGGAACGAAACTAATATTAGGAGTTACACGCAAGCCTGAATTAAACACAATCCACATTGTAATATAAATAAACAAATATACTATAACTGGTGCATAAACTGCTATAACAAATCATACAATTCATGGAACTAATTAAACAAGGTAAAGACTACAGAATATCCAAGCTTGGGAAACTTAAAACCATATACCAAAGGGATACAAGCCATTTATTTCAGATCTCAGAAATTTAAGCCATTTAATTAGGCCCACCAAGACCAAATAGTTAGAGGACCAATTTGGGAAAATTGTTCATTTTATGACATTTGGGTGGTTCTCAAACCTAGCCTTGAGCACGGGTGAAGTGCAATATTCTAAAAACATCAAAACACACATCTTGAGCGATATGATGCTTACTAATATGTGATCGATTTATAAACCATCTCCATGACTCAAGTTCATTATAAACTTCTCATTGCAACGAAATGAAGAAGAAACCAAAAGTTCATCATCACCAATTAGTAATTGATCTAACCCCCACTAGAAACTAATTAAACCAACGTGTGCGACTAATGCGGAAGTATGAACATAACAAATATTCCTTCTCACAACAAAATATCCACAATAAAAACTTTAAAGAACAATACAAGTAATTACTTCAAGCTAGTGAACCATGCACACTACAGATTCTCTCAAGCGCATAATAAAAGATAAATTGGCAATAAAATTGAATCCATGAATATAATGATACTAGGATTGAAATGGAAAAAAATTTGGAATATGTCACTTCCAATACTAAGATTCTAGGAAGCAACAAAACCCATCAAGTACCAGAGAAAAGGAGGATCAAACCTTCACTACAAAGTGATAGAAACATGTAATTAAGAACAGCGTGCATGGATAGAAATATTATAGAAAAGCAAGAACAAACCTACTCAAACACCACGGAGATGAATAGATATAGGAAACGAATTAAAACAAAGATATCTGAAAGGGCTACATGCATGTTAACATATATAACAGAAACAACCCGAACTTATATTTAGAGTTACACACAAGTCCAAATTGTAATATAAGAATAGTAATTTCAAGACAAAGAAACACAATATTTTAACTAGTGCATAAATTACTCTAGAAAATTTTGACAAACAAGGTAAAAAAGCTCAAACTTTGGGAATTCAATCAAAAGGATTTTCCAAAGGCATATTCAAGCCATTGATTTGGACTAAAGATACTTAAGCCATCTAGTTATGCCCGAACAGAAGATATGGGTTAGGCCAATTGGCTAGGACAACGTACCCGCCACATTGTACCTAATCATGAATCCCCCATTGCACCTAAGTACAAATCCCCGTCATAGTAGATTAAAGTTGTTTAGAATATCACTTTGCCAAATATTATGTAACAAAACCAAAATGTTAGGTCATCTCCAATGCACCAGAAAATTTAGACTCAAATAATGTTATATTTGAGTCTAAAAATGAGAGGCAAGCACTCGCTAGAGTTCAGGAGACCTGAACCATCTCCAATGCACTAGAAAATTTTGGACTCCAATCTCATATTTGAGTCTAGATATGAATCAAAACATCTCCAATTCACTAGATACTTAATTGGAAGTTTTCTGCTAATATGTGACTCTAATTTGGAGTCTAAGGTGGATCCATGCCAACAATAAAAAGTGCAATTCGACCAAGGAAAATAAAATGAGTTTTGACCCCAACCATCTCTAATACACATACCAAAATTGTTAAAAATCCCATTCAGAGTTTTGACTTTAATGTTTTCTCTTCTAATGCACATACTTAATTGTTAAAACTGAAATATGGGTTTGACTCGAATGTTTTCTATTCCAAGGCATAGACCCCACCTTAACAATGTGCATTGGAAGAGAAAACCAAACACTCAAACCAACCATTTTTTTGGACTCAAATATAAAAATATTACTCAGGAATATAAATCTTTCATCGTATATTACCTACGATTTGTTCCAAAGCTTATTAAATAGTTCTTTTGTGCTCAAACCTAGAATTGGCCTTAATATAAAACTCATTCATACCTTCAATCGTATGTTACATAAACTCTGATTGAAATAATCAACAACCATATATTTTTCAATTACACCCTGCTCTCAACAGTTAGTCTCAATTAGTCTGGTATATATTTAGACTTCAGACTTACAAGCTAAGTTTCTAACCAATTAACAACAACAACCACAAGAAGTAATCTTCTAATCTGACGTCAAAGTGTCAAACATCTAATAAGAGACCCTTTAACTACAACAATTTACTCACACACTACAATTTGGATAACCATTTCTAGTATCCTATCAGCCCTTAGAATAGGTCAACTGTAATCATTAATCTGATAAACACTTAAAACTCACATGGAAAACGGATTAGCTATGTAATGTTCTTCAAACCAGTTCATTAGCATCAACTAGTAATTGACCTAACCCATTCCGCGATCATATTTAACTAACCCGAAACCATGAAGATAATCAGTATTTCTTCCCCAAGAAAAAAAAATATCCAGATTAAAAATTTAAACATATGTAAAAACAGTACGAAACAGAAAAGAAATTGATAAACTGAAGTACATCAAGGAGATTACAATTGATACGTACCTTGATGATTAAACCTGCGGCAATATAATCGAAGCAGAATCTGCTGCCACTCACTGACGCCAAAACATCAACAAGTACTTCACTTGTACTTCCTACCAAATATAATTAATTAAAATGGAACGATAAGTAAATTAAACAGAAGAAAAGAACAATATAAAACAAAATTATACATACTTGAATAACAGAACACCTATCTTCTTCTTCTTTATTTTTTTGAAAAGGTATTTTGAGTTAAGAATCTCACTTATGACACAAAAAAAGCTGAGATCTGGCCAGATTGGAAAAGAGTAAAATGTGTCCAGATGGTTTAGATTTCCTTTTATCAGCCGATTTGGGAAGAAGGGCTCAATGTATACCTATAAATAATTTACAGTTTTTATACGACATGAACATGGAAATATACTTGCATGAAGAAGCAGAAAAAGAGGAGGAGGAAGACGAAGAGGGTTTTCATAAAAATAAATAAAAGAAAAATTGCGGGAATTTCCACGAAAATAGAAGTGGGATTCGGAGGGTTTTCATAAAATACTTAATAAAGAAAAGAATAATTGCGGGAATTTCCATGAAAAATTGGACAGTAAGGCGTACCTTGAATAAAGGTGTCCTCCAGTTCATGATTTCGACCGACGTATCATACCATACATGCCTCATTGTAAGCCTGGTAAACATGTTGTGTATGTCTTGTTTGTATTATTTTCGTGTAATATTTATTATCTTAAAGGATCGTGTTGTGTCACAATCATTATGATATGTTAAGAAAAATATTTTTTTTTCCTTAAATTTGCACATACCACACATTGCCACATAAACATTACTTCAAAACATTAAAACACATTTGTCGTTTAAGTACTACATCTACACTAAAAAATAAGAGTCTAATAAACAAACATCCTTACACTACTAGTCTATTACAAAATATTAAATGTGCAAGAATATGCAAAATAAAAGAGTTTGTTTTCAAGGTTGTGTAGCCTTTTTCAAAAGTTTAAACATTGTCAATAGAACTCAAAGGTTGCATGTTGTTCCTTTTACAAAATCCTCAATTTTCATTGATCATCATGATATAAGATTTTGTGGTATCTACTAGTGTAAATATTTTAAATTGAAGATCGAATTCATTCCTTGTATTCCAAAACCTAACTACAGTTCGGCAAAATCTACCAACCCAGCCGTTAAGAGAGTAAAACAATTTAGTAGCAAGATTAACTTATGATTCATAGTTATTAACTATAATCGTGTGATCATGTAGAATGAGCATAAAGTGATGCTATCTCTTAGACTCAATTTTTTTAAGTGCTAGCCGTCCAACACTAGATTCCTTTCGACCGTTTGAACATGGAAACTTTTTGACGGTGGTTTCCACTCGAATTCTTGTGTTCAAACTCTCATGATCATAGAGTTTGATAGTGCCAAGCCTAACAGTTTTGGTCTATGGGATTATATATCAGGGCATTCCATCGCCCGCCCATCTTCCTTTGAACTTTTGACTGGTGAGATTGAATCCTGGTATTGTGCTTCTGCAATCCTTTTCACCGCTTCATTCCACACCATCCCTGACCCATCATCTTTCATGACGGTTCTGCACGAAAATCATATAATATGGGACGTTCATACGTCAGAACAAATATAGAAAACTCGAGAGACAGATGGAGAGACACACTAAACATACATATATAAAAACGAGGGATCAATAAAGCCCATACATTCTAAACATGGAGAGAAACCAACACAAAATGGTTCCAACTTCTAATTAAAAAACAGCCAATACGTCAGCTATTATGACATCCTAGAAAAGTAGGCGACGATGAGGTTCCACACACCATTACCATTTGTGTCATGAGTTAACAGTTTAGAATGATGTCGCACCCCATCCTGAGAACAAAATTTTCATCATGGTGTTCAAGGTTGAAAGGTGGCAAAGTGCCAAACCTGAATGTTGCCAGATATGGAACTAATTTAGTTTTTAATACACCTTAACGACAATCGTTTGTGCATTTCATTCTCGTCCTAGTTTATCAAATGTTCTAGTCATTAAAGCCAAAAGCCTCTTGAGGAACTTGCATAACAACAATAGGACTCATCCGAAGAGCTTAAACCCCTCCCCCTCACTCACAGGCGGGCGGGCACCCCAATTCAAAACAAATGTTCCTGGTGTGACTTCTAGTCAACTAATCAAGATTGAACAATGTAAAATTTATCAAATTTTATCGAAAATGGGTGATTTGAACAGAAGGAAGAAGATTAATTAAAAATAGAAACCACACTAAAGAAGTGGCAGCCAACTTTAATTTGTAGTTGTTGCCAAAACTCACTTCTGTATTCCGCCCACACGGGAAGTACGCAAGGAAATTAATTAATTCAGGTGCAATGAACCACACTAAAGACCTTCTTAGGCGTAGCATAAAAGAGAAAGGGCAATAAAAATAAAGAAATGAACATACAAAGATTCTAGGAAGCAACAAAGACCATCAAGTATTGAGAATTATATGCAAGATATATGTGAAAACAGTGGAGAGAAGAAGAATCCACCCTGCATTAGAAATAATTAGGTTTTACAAAGCGATGTACGCATATAACCAAAAACGGTGTGCAAAGATACAAACATAACAAAAACGTAAAATCAAATATACTCAAATGCCATGTTAAAATTTAAAAATATAGAAGGTCGATGAGTAGAAATAGGAACGAAACTAATATTAGGAGTTACACGCAAGCCTGAATTAAACACAATCCACATTGTAATATAAATAAAAAATATACTTTAACTGGTGCATAAACTGCTATAACAAATCATACAATTCATGGAACTAATTAAACAAGGTAAAGACTACAGAATATCCAAGCTTGGGAAACTTAAAACCATATACCAAAGGGATACAAGCCATTTATTTCAGATCTCAGAAATTTAAGCCATTTAATTATGCCCACCAAGACCAAATAGTTAGAGGACCAATTTGGGAAGATTGTTCATTTTATGACATTTGGGTGGTTCTCAAACCTAGCCTTGAGCAAGGGTGAAGTGCAATATTCTAAAAACATCAAAACACACATCTTGAGCGATATGATGCTTACTAATATGTAATCGATTTATAAACCATCTCCATGACTCAAGTTCATTATAAACTTCTCATTGCAACGAACTGAAGAAGAAACCAAAAGTTCATCATCACCAATTAGTAATTGATCTAACCCCCACTAGAAACTAATTAAACCAACATGTGCGACTAATGCGGAAGTATGAACATAACAAATATTCCTTCTCACAACAAAATATCCACAATAAAAAATTTAAAGAACAATACAAGTAATTACTTCAAGCTAGTGAACCATGCACACTACAGATTCTCTCAAGCGCATAATAAAAGATAAATTGGCAATAAAATTGAATCCATGAATATAATGATACTAGGATTGGCATGGAAAAAAATTTGGAATATGTCACTTCCAATACTAAGATTCTAGGAAGCAACAACACCCATCAAGTACCAGAGAAAAGGAGGATCGTACCTTCACTACAAAGTGATAGAAACATGTAATTAAGAACAGTGTGCATGGATAGAAATATTATAGAAAAGCAAGAACAAACCTACTCAAACACCACGGAGATGAATAGATATAGGAAACGAATTAAAACAAAGATATCTGAAAGGGCTACATGCATGTTAACATATATAACAGAAAAAACCCGAACTTATATTTGGAGTTATACACAAGTCCAAATTGTAATATAAGAATAGTAATTTCAAGACAAAAAGAAACACGATATTTTAACTAGTGCATAAATTACTCTAGAAAATTTTGACAAACAAGGTAAAAAAGCTCAAACTTTGGGAATTCAATCAAAAGGATTTTCCAAAGGTATATTCAAGCCATTTATTTGGACTAAAGATAATTAAGCCATCTAGTTATGCCCAAACAGAAGATGTGGGTTAGGCCAATTGGCTAGGACAACGTACCCGCCACATTGTACCTAATCATGAATCCCCCATTGCACCTAAGTACAAATCCCTATCATAGTAGATTAAAGTAGTTTAGAATATCACTTTGCCAAATATTATGTAACAAAGCCAAAATGTTAGGTCATCTCCAATGCACCAGAAAATTTAGACTCAAATAATGTTATATTTGAGTCTAAAAATGAGAGGCAAGCACTCGCCAATGTTCAGGAGACTTGAACCATCGCCAATGCACTAGAAAATTTTGGACTCCAATCTCATATTTGGGTCTAGATATGAATCAAAACATCTCCAATTCACTAGATACTTAATTGGAAGTTTTCTGCTAATATGTGACTCTAATTTGGAGTCTAAGGTGGATCCCATGCCAACAATAAAAAGTGCTATTCGACCAAGGAAAATAAGATGAGTTTTGACCCCAAGCATCTCTAATACACGTACCAAAATTGTTAAAAATCACATTCAGAGTTTTGACTTTAATGTTTTCTCATCTAATGCACATACTTAATTGTTAAAACTGAAATATGGGTTTGACTCGAATGTTTTCTATTCCAAGGCATAGATTCCACCTTAACAATGTGCATTGGAAGAGAAAACCAAACACTCAAACCAACCATTTTTTTGGACTCAAACATAAAAATATTAATCAGGAATATAAATCTTTCATCGTATATTACCTACGATTTGTTCCAAAGCTTATTAAATAGTTCTTTTGTGCTCAAACCTAGAATTGGCCTTAATATGAAACTCATTCATACCTTCAATCGTATGTTACATAAACTCTGTGATTGAAATAATCAACAACCATACATTTTTCAATTACAACCTGCTCTCAACAGTTAGTCTCAATTAGTCTGGTATATATTTAGACTTCAGACTTACAAGCTGAGTTTCTAACCAATTAACAACAACAACCACAAGAAGTAATCTTCTAATCTGACGTCAAAGTGTCAAACATCTAATAAGGGACCCCTTAACTACTACAATTTACTCACACACTACAATTTGGATAACCATTTCTAGTATCCTACAGTTGGCCTAGGTCAACTGTAATCATTAACCTGATAAAAACTTAAAACTCACATGGAAAACGGATTAGCTATGTAATGTTCTTCAAACCAGTTCATTAGCATCAACTAGTAATTGACCTAACCCATTCCGCGATCATATTTAACTAACCCGAAACCATGAAGATAATCAGTATTTCTTCCCCAAGAAAAAAAAATCCCAGATTAAAAATTTAAACACATGTACAAACAGTACGAAACAGAAAAGAAATTGATAAACTGAAGTACATCAAGGAGATTACAATTGATACGTACCTTGATGATTAAACCTGCGGCAATATAATCGAAGCAGAATCTGCTGCCACTCACTGACGCCAAAACATCAACAAGTACTTCACTTGTACTTCCTACCAAATATAATTAATTAAAATGGAACGATAAGTAAATTAAACAGAAGAAAAGAACAATATAAAACAAAATTATACATACTTGAATAACAGAACACCTATCTTCTTCTTCTTTATTTTTTTGAAAAGGTATTTTGAGTTAAGAA